CTATTTTGTATAAATACAGTCTCATTAAGTAACCATATGGAGCTAGGGAATAGTTCAGTTTAAGACCTGTAGTTACGACATTTAGGGCATGTCTACAGGTACAGTGCTGCAGCAGCGCATCTGTAGTGCCGCTGCAGCATGTCTGGTGAAGACGCTCTATGCCGACGGGAGAGAACTCTCCCTTAGGCAAAATAAAACCATCTCCACAAACAGCAGAAGTTCTGTCAGCGGGAGAAGCTGTCCCACCGACATAGCGCTGTGCACATGAGCACTTACGTCAGTGTAACTTATGTCGCTCAGGTGGGTGGTTTATTCATACCACTGAGCAACGGTAAGTTATGTCGACTTCAGCTGTAGTGTAGACATAGCCTTAGTTAGGCAAGACTGACTCTTACCGAAGTTCTGTGTTGTTTTTTGGGTGTTCTCTGGTGTGAAGGTTGTGGTGTTTTGGGAAGTTCAGTTTGTGAGATCAGTGGCTTTGTCTACACTACAAGCACCAGTGTACACACTTACTACAGTGATAAAAGGGTTTTTTCCATTACTGTAGTCAGGGCCGGATCCAAGTTTTTTGCTGCCCCAAGCAAAAAAAATGTCCCGCACCCCCCGGCCCCGCCCCAACTCTGCCCCTTCCCTGCCCCATTCCAACCCCTTCCCCAAATCCCCGGCCCCACCTCCTCCCCTGGGTGTGCCACATTTCCCCTCCTACCCCTTCCTCCTGTCCCAGGCAAGCCTGGGAGGGAGGGGGGAGAAGCGGAGCAGTGGCGGGCTCGGGGGAGCAGGCGACAGTGGAGTGGAGGTGAGCTGGGGGGGGCGGTTCCTCTGCCCCCCCCAGGGTTTCTTCCTGCGGCCCTCCCCATGCCCCCCACCGCCGCAGCTCACCTCCACTCCGCCTGCTCCCCTGAGCGCGCCACCGCCGCTCCGCTTCTCCCCCGTCCCTCCCAGGCTTGCCACAAAACAGCTGATTCGCATGGCAAGCCTGGGAGGGATGGGGGAGAAGCGGAGTGGCAGCGCGCTCAGGGGAGCAGGCGGCAGTGGAGCGGAGGTGAGGTGGGGGGGGAGGGAGCGGTTCCTCTGCCTCCCCCCCGGGTTACTTCCTGCGGCCCTTCCCGCGCACCCCACCGCCGCAGCTCACCTCTGCTCAGGGCCGGCTCCCGGCTTTTTGCGCCCCAAGGGGGGAAAAAAAAAGGAGCCGGAGTGCCGCCCCTTGTTAAGTGCCGCCCCAAGCACATGCTTGGAGTGCTGGTGCCTAGAGCCGGCCCTGACTGTAGTAAATCCACCTGGTAGCTAAGTTGATAGAAGTATTCTTCCATAGACCTAGCTGTGTCTACACTGGGGTATAGATCGGCTTAACTATGTCTCTCAGAGGTGTGAATTTGTCACACTCCAAGCGATGTATCTAGGTTGACCTATGTTTTAGGTGTAGATCAGGCTAGTGTCTGTGTTTCTGGAAAGTTAGAAGGGCATTGTGAGATGAGGAGAAGCATGTGATACTGAAGGGAACCACAAAACAATAAACTTTTTAGACTAAAAAGGAGGATCAGCTTGTTCTTCACAAAACAAAAATTTGGGATAGTTGCCCGTTTTGTTGTTTAAGCAGTGTTTTCAAGTCACATTTTGGATTAATGTTTAAATATATGTTTTATCTGGGTGATAAATGTTTGGGGTAGAAGGAAGAGTGAGAGACAGTTATTGCAGGATCATTGGCATCTCTAGGCTTTTTTTTTTTTTTATGGGAAAGGAAGTAACTAAAGGGCAGATCATGAATGGTGCTAAACTTTCAGGGAAGAATCTGAAAGAGCCCATCTGGCTACTCTGCCATGTCCCCTCCAGTTTCACATAGCCTGAGTTCTGCCGGTGGGAGAGGAGAAAGGGAGCTTCTTGTGTTAGTGGCACTCCGCTTCCTGGGGATCTGTGAACATGGAGGGGAGCTTGAAGGCCCTGTGACAGGCTCCATGTGTTTGTGATTCATATTTGACATGGATCAGAACTTTGGGGGAAATGTGTAATCATTAAAATATGGTGTCTTGACACCATGACCAAAGGTGGCTTATCACCAGAGTCAGGACATGCAGGTACTCCAATGAGTGGGAGGAAAGAGAGTGTGAATGCTAATCTCATGTGGAACTAAAAGAGAATTTCCATATACTAAACAAGCAGTCTCAACCAGGGAGGGAAACCACTGCATAGAAGAGAGGTGGGAAATGTGTGTGCCAAATGATTAAGGGACCAGACAACTTTTTTGTGCACTGAATATTCAGTCAGAATTATGTAAGAACAAACCATCTTTCCAAGCATATTGAATAGTACACCTCTACCCCGATATAACGTGGCCCGATATAATACGAATTCAGATATAACGCGGTAAAGCAGTGCTCCGGGGGGCGGGGGGAGGGGGGGCTGCGCACTCTGGTGGATCGAAGCAAGTTCGATATAGCGCGGTTTCACCTATAATGTGGTAAGATTTTTTGGCTCCCGAGGACAGCGTTATATCGAGGTAGAGGTGTATGTGGAACATGTAATGGTGAACATGTACCAGAACAGGACAGAGGGGAATCCACATTCTGTGCTAGATTTATTGTGGCAGGTATGGGTGTCCAGAATGACCGACTTCCTTTCTGATATGATGATGAGCAAAGTCACATCTTTACCTTTATTCTCTGAGGTAAAACTAGTAGGCCAGCAGAGCTGATGGGAAAGAGCAGGAGGCCACGTGGTCTCTGCAGCCCCGGACTAGCCAGCTGAGAAGCTGTGGTGCTAGAGAGAAAGAGATTGCAAGTGCACAAGTGCATGAAGAAGTGAGACAAAACCTGAACCATAGAAGATGAATGTGCTATTTGCCTGAATCACTAATCCCTCTACATTTGCATAGTACCTCATCTACATGAGGTTTTACATTAGTGCAAGGCTAGGTATGATTTCATACAGGTCCCTAGCGTCTCCTTACCATAATATGGGGTGAATCACATCAGAGTGGATGACCAGTCTGACCTTTATAAATCTGGTAGTAATGCTAGAGGAGAAGGTGCTTGCCAGCTGCTCAGTCCATTCAGAGACAGAGGCTGTCCTAGCCAATGCCAGGAACAGAGGTCTTTGGGAAGAAGCCTTCCTGTGCCTGGAGAATTCCCTCAAACTCTAGGGCTAAGTCGGGTTGCCACACACTAGAATGAATTACAAAACTCTGTTTGTTTGATTTTGAGATTTTTATGCAAATGAAGTAGGGGCAAGAGGTGAATAAATGACGCTATTTAGATTTTCCAATGTTTCTTTCTTCCTTTTCTTAAAGGCTTATTACACTCAGTATCTATGTGTACTTGTATGGACTGTTCATGCGTATAGAGGCAAGTTACACGATGTAAATAATTGCCTGTTTAATCCTTACATGTAATTGTTAAAATATATTACCACTATGCAGCAAAGGAAACAGTCAGTTTGCATCAGTAGGTTATGAGGATCTGAAAAGTTCAGTTTGTTTTCTATGTGTATGTGCCTGCAGAACTCCATCTAGTGTTGGTCTTTAGATTCTCTTTTAGGTGCATTTTCCAATCTATATTGTCTGCTGCCACCTAGTGATAGAAGAAAATAATTATGGGTCAGTTCCATTAACTCATTGGTTTTCAAACTGGGGCATTTCCCCTTGGGTGGGAAGGGAAGTGCCACGGTTATCAGGTGGATGCGAGGACCTGACTGTCTCACTAACTGAGCTGCAGCTCCAGCTGCTGCTGCCAGGCTAGAAGAGCTGGGAGGAGTTTGGGGCATAGCATCTCCCTGTGCAGCAGCTTCAGGGGGTGGGAAGCATGTCAGCTCACTCTCCTCTCCTCTCCAGAGGCTCGTGTGCATGTGCCCCCTTGTGAGAGTTCCTCCCTTCCTGCACAGGCTCTTGTGCATGCATGCTGGGGATCGTGTCAGGGCCAAAGGAGCCTGTGGCCTGTGAGTGATTCTGGGGAGTCTCAGGGGTGGGAGCACAAAGAAAGGGGTGCAGCCCAACTGTCTATCACCCACCCAGAGCACATCACGGAAAGGGGATGCTCGCAAGCTGGGGAGCAGCAGGGCACCCTGGCCAGGATGGACTCCTGGACGCCAGGTGTCCAAAGAAACAGAGTTTCTTAGAAAGATGGGGGGTATACATGGGACAAAGCGGAGTGCAGCAAAAAAAGCTTGGGAACCTCTGCATTAAATGTTTGCAGGTACTAAAACAGCGTAATCAGAAATTGCAAAGCACCTCCTTGGATTTCCTTCTGCTAACAAAATTAAACACATGCACGAATGTTGGCATTGCTATCTGAAAGGCTGCAGATTAGGTTCTTGGAGAATGGTTCTCACGCCCAGACAATTATTGTATGTCAACATGTAAAATAAAAATAACATTCTTAAAACTGTTTCCAGTTTATCAATGAAATCCTTTTCAAATTTGACTGAGTTCAGAGTGCTTTGGATCAGAAACACATGGAGTACTCCTCACTGAGACATAATAATAATGCTTATTGTATAGTATAAGGAGGATGGGAGAATCTTTTAAATCATAGATGGAAAAGACTTCTTAGCTCTAGGCTTGTCCCTTCCAAGGGAATATGATTCCCTAAGACACATTTTCTAGTATTTTGTCTGAGATCCTATAGGTTTCTTTTATAACTTTTTAGGTACAGTATAAAAAAATAAGATTAGTTGTGTATACCTATTTCTGTAATTAAATATTGAAATATTATGATTGCTGTATAACTCCCCTTCCCCCCCCCCCCCCCCCCCGCAGTATAGCTGCAATCTTTGAACAATTTTTTTGTTTGTTTTTTTTCTGTTAAATAAGTATTTTCTAGCTAATATTTTGTATGTCCATAAATTTTGGGTGTCCATTTTGCATATCAAAACTTTTGCTATCTACTAGCAAACATAGATTTGATCTGAATATATATTCTCTCTGTAGCTGTTAATTTTAAGATGTTTAATTTCTGTTTCGTACTTCCAACGCTTAGTTATCTAACTCCTATTATTTATTTTATTTTCAGATCGAACCTGCAGCTGCCTGTAAGTACCAATCTATTACTTTATTATGATTTTGTTTAGTATCCAAATTTCACAATGTGGACACAGGAACAAATGGATATAAACTGGCCATCAATGAGTTTAGGCTTGAAATTAGACAAAGGTTTCTAACTATCAGAGGACTGAAGTTCTAGAGCAATGGGGGCAAAACACCTAACTGGCTTCAAGACTGAACTTGAAAGGTTTGTGGAGAGGATGGTATGATGGGACTGCCTACAATGGCATGTAGCCGATCTGCAACTGCTAGCAGCAAATATCTCCAATGGCCGGTGATGGGACACTACAGTACAATTAACTCAAAGTAAAAAAATTTGATGTAAAAAAGCAGGGGACAGTAAAGTGATATTTAAAGTGGTGGTGTTATAGTCTGAAGAAAACCTAATTGGCAATAACAAAGGTGAATACACATACATAAAGTGAAATGCTAGAATTATGTGAAGTTGTTTAACCATTTTTCTGTAATTTTTCCTTATCTTATAGGCTTTGAAGATTGCAACTCAATAAATGTAAATGCAACGACGACAGAAATCAATATTGACACAAAAGAAAACTTAACAATAAGCAATGTAACTTTTGCAAATGGAACACTGTTCCAGGATTCACCACTGAACAATTCAATAAGAGGTCTTTCCCCTGGTGTACAATACATTATCAACTTTCAAAATGGTACAGAATCATGCTGCAAAAACATTACAACAAGTAAGTGACCTGAGGTGGTTGTAGGAGGGAGTATCTTCATTTTATAGCTTTCTTACCATTTTAAGTCGTGTCTACACCAAAGAAAGCAAACGGCATAGCAGAGCATGGCTCCAGGTTGATTCCTGGCAGAGCAGTGAACCACGTTATGTCAAAGACCTATACCTGCTTAGTAGGCTTTGAAAACTGTTTGTGAACATGGGGCCTTACAATATTTCATGAATGCAGGTGCTGTCACCTAGTTGTAGACTCTTTACCTATGAAGGGTTACTTTCCTTTGCTTTCCTTTTCGTGGTTTCAGCTGGCAGCATGGACAAATGTATAGAGTTGGGCTAGTGTTGTGAGTGTTTGGACTGTGACTTTTATATATGAAATACTTTGTGACAAATCACTCCTGCAACTACTTATATACTATAATATATATGGTACTGTACCACATATCCAGATGGCAATGGCTAATGGCCTTGTGTTCTAGGGCCCTCTCCTTACATTGTGGTACAGTCAGCAAGACCCCTTTTCCGACCGTTGCAAGTATCTTTGAGAAAGAACAGCAAGTTGGTGGTAACAGCCTTCAACACCCTGAATGGTGTATAGGGCTGGCTCCAGGCACCAGCCGAGCAAGCTGGTGCTTGGGGCGGCAGCTTGTAGGAGGCAGCATTCCGCCCAATCCTAGGGCGGCACGGCCGCTTTTTGTTGTTGTTGTTGTTGTTGTTCCGCTCCAGCCGCCCTGTAGAGGGCAGCGGCGTGGAGGAAGGGAGCGCCCTGCAGCAAGCCCGGCAGGGCAGCCCCCGTCCTTCCCTCCCAGCTGACCGGAGTGGTGTGGAGCCCTCCCGGCAGGGGGCACGGCGGGAGGGGCCGTGTGGCAGCGCCCCACTGAAGCCCTGGCTGCCCCCTTCTTTCTCTCCCCCTGCTCCCTCCCTCTCCCCCCGCTAGCCGGGGCACATCTGCAGGGCAGGGAGTTCCCTGCACCCTGGCTCCGGCCGCGCTGCAGGGGGTTTTTTTTTGTTTTTTTGTTTTTGCTTGGGGCGGCCAGAAAGCCAGAGCCGGCCCTGATGGTGTAGGCAGGAGAAATGAGGCAGCTCAATGTCTGAGTGTTGTGGAGGCCAGTGCTGCTGTTCCTCAGTCCTGGCTGACCAAACCCTAAGATGGAAAAGGGACTGAGGGGGCCAAAGAGTGAAGGGGAAGCAGTGATCAACAACTAGGAAATGCCCAGTTGTGGATGAGGAAAGTTGCTGTTAAGGCCTCCAGAGTCCTGATTGCCTCCTGGCTTAAGTAGAATACATAAAATAAATATTTACATGCACATGAATGAAAACCTAGCCCAGCATATTCAACCTGAATACATCAGTAAGTCCTTAATGAGTTCTAAGGGTGCTGCCCTCTATCAGTGAATGTTAGCCTCCGGCTACATTATTGTGTCTTGCTGCTCTTTTCTATTTCTCACGGTGTTACTCAAGACTTCTCATCCCCATCCTCCTATTCAGAACTGCCCTTTCCTTCTTAATGCTTATAATAGGCTGTCCCCTGCTAAACGTACGCCAGGCCTGAATTAGCTGATTGACGCTAAAAGGAGGGTTTGTGGGAAGCACTGTGAAAATTCTGTTGGAGGCTATGAATTAATGGAGTCTTGCAGTTAGCATCAGATGTGTTTAAAGCAAAAAAATCCCCTTTGATAAGTTTCATTCTAATAAATCTGGCTGATCTATGGGTGTGAAACTCAGTGCAACACTGAGAGACTCTAGCGTCATATTTTGGAATGATGATCTTTTTTTGTATCTTCTTCTAATTGTAATCTTTGCGACCTCTTGACTGTTTGAATAACTGCCCATATTATTATGTAATCTAGCTCCAGAATATAACATTTATAAGGCACTTTTCTAGATTATTCCATACTCCTTATTGGAAAAGTTACTCTAAGATTTATGAAAATAACACATGTAGGGCAATATAGATGCACTTTGTATATAAGAAGGCTACATATCCTGTAAGGTCATGGCAGATACCGAGAAACAGGGTATCTCACCATCACAATGAAATCTTAATAAAATGGCGTGGTCAGAAGTGTACACAGGTTTTGGGGTTGCCATACTTAAACTGGTAATGCCTTAATGG